TTTGTTTCGTTCATAAAAGGTATTTTTCTTACCACTCTACCTCTATAGCCAGCTTCATGTACGCAATTCCTCGTGGCTTAGGGAATTACAGATTTCCCATAATCGGACGTGATGTGAGCCTAATCCTCTCGAGTATTTAATTTGGGATTCTTTGCTACTTTAAGCACAATTTCACGAGATTTTCGTGAAATCCCTTCCAGGCCGCGGTAAAGCTTTTTTGACACCATTTGAACTTACACTGCCTCTAACAGAAACCATATCCTAAGAATGGCTAAGACGGTGGTACAACAGTGCACCTAGCAAATTAAAAGACAATAAAGAAAGAGGGGCAACCGTGGAGCATATCCAAACACAACAGTCGTTCCTACACAATGAAAAACTTATAAAACATATTTTACAAGTTTATAACTAATGATCCTTTGCAGATTTATTTATTATTATTTTTTTTAATTTTGGGAGCTCATTGATTTATTAATTTATTGATTTTATTGCTATTTTTTTTTTGTTTATTTATTTATCTATTTTAGCTTATTATCTATAAGTGTCTATTATTATCATTTTTTATTTATTTTTTTTATCCTTTTTTTATTTTATTTTTTTTCTTCCAACCAACTAAATAGTATAAAAATAGTTTTATTTAGTTGATCGGGCGCTGATGACCTGGATGTTTTGCGCCGAGGCATCGAAACAAACAAACGGGTTTTTCCCCTGTCAACAAGAGTTTTCTCTCAGGGCGGGATTTATTGTTCACTGATTCGGATTTAAATTTTTTTATAATTTATTTCACTGTCGTATGAGGTCGTTTGAACTTTTTCCCAATATAGCGCAAACTTAAACTTGTTGAAAATGTTTTACGTTATCTTTAAGATGAAAACCCAATTATTTGGAACTACGACCCATTGCCGAAGATATATTTTTTAGTACTGAACTAAACAAGCAATTTCTCCTGCGATTTTATGCTTTGATCATCTGGAGTAACGAGTTATAAATATAACGTTAAAAAACTGTTTTAATAACATAATATATCGTATCATTAACATTTGCTCAAGTGTACGAATACTTAGTTTGTGTACAATTTATTGAAATATTAGTTTTATAAAAGTCGTATGAGATTTCAAATTTTGACATTACATAAAATTAACGTGAAATGGAGTTTATAATTGATAGCTGCCATTGTTTCAAGTTAAAAAAAAAATTATAATGAACCATTTTGGCCAAAAAACGGGATGTACGAATACTTTTTTTGCTCATTGTATGTCAGCTCAGAAGAAACCAACCACACTCCTGGATGCGAACCGAGCTGCGTAGTCACCCCGGAGACAGCCAATAGGAAAGAGGGACATGTAGCTAATGAACAGGACCGAGCGCTCTGGTTGGCTGGTCCGCGCGCTCTCTTTGCCATCCAGGGCAGGCCGGTACACTCCGCTCATCATGCAAATGGACCTCCTTTCACGGATCTTTACCTATATCTTGTCTACGCCACTTCTTTTCAATTGTACCCAATGCCCGTCTTAAGTGTCTCAGTTGGATTCCGATAGGTTGTCTAGAGCTATTTTGAAAAACATTGTTGCAAGTGGAATAAATAAAAAAATCATGATTTCATTTATGGAGTTGGCTCTTGATTTTTCAAAAATACTATTTAGATACCTTGTCAATTTATTTCAATATATCACAGTGAAAAGGTAGTAGTCAAAAAAGTTTTGGGACCTTTTTTCTAAAGTTTCGGTAAAGTCTGAAGTCTAATTTCATACCTGAAAGTTAGACAAATGTTATTAGTGTATTCTCTATACTGGAATATCAGAATGTAATGAACATTCAAAGGATCCACGTATTGTTGATAGTAATATATCAAATTTCTCACTCACTTTTTTCAAATTAGTTGTAACTGGCCATACCTCATTAGGGTTTTTAACATTAAAGGCATATGCTCCTGGGTTTTTATATGATTTGTTCAATGTAGAAAATACTAAAAAGAAATATATTTCTGAAAGGAATCTTATCTTATATTAGATTTTTTTAAACCATTGGAATAAGGATTGTCATACATCTTGAAAAAAAAATTATCGGTTTATTGAAGGAAATGAAAAATTTCTATTTTTCAGTTTGAGAAGTTTAGTCAGTCCATCAACATGTATATTCTTAATTCGTAATAAACATGAATTGGCCCATAATTGATTTTCAAAATTTAATTATGTTTTAATAAAAATAAAATAAATATTTTAAAAAAAAATAATCTCCCTTCTAAATCTATCGAAAGAATGATTAATTGGTAACTGGCGAAATTTATAAATCAATAAAAAGTTATTTTTCTTTAAAATATTTTATTAATGTAATCCTCAAAACTGCCATTTCATATTATCCAGATACAGTAAATTTATTTTAACCGTATATAGAATAATAATTTTCAAGAAATCGTCAACATTTGAAATTCTCCTCTAGCAAAGATTCTTTTTCATTGCAAACTTTTTCAAAACCGTCGTCGATATTTTCATTTAAAATAATTTTCAAAAAAATCTTTATGATTTGCTTCTTAAGGTATCAGCATTTGTAGTACTATATTGTCTTATCATTCGTTTCAATACAGATACTATTATTTATTTATTTATTTTTACATCATTCATTCGATATTTTAGTAGTGTACATAAATCTCATAACCATAGTGCTAATGTTTTATTTTTAAGAACAAAGTTTTTAAGAATTAAATTTATTTTTTGCATGTGTGATTTGTTATTTTAGCACTATACGTGTTAGCTATTGCCTGGTAAACCCCGAACATCCAGTGTTCTTATGCTATGTAAAACATAATGCTATTAAATATACTATGCCCTCATTTTACCCAATATACATCTGATATACTCTCCAACATGTTTTACCACCATCTCTTTATGAGAACCTGGATCTTGTCTTCTGTAATAATGGGAAAATATTAAAAATCCTTTTGGAATGTCTATAGATATTTTTGGATGTCTGTTTAGCCTCATAAGATACCAGCTATATATTAACTAAATTTTTTTTAAATATTATTTTTTTACAATTTCATACATTGTAATTTTATTTAATACCCTAATTATTTATGGTATGTTATCTGATTACATTTAATAATAATTTTTTATTTCTCATTCTAAAGTTCAGCACCAACAGTAATCTTAAGTGATATACATGTATGTACCTGTATATGTTCTTAATCATGAGAAATTATTAGGTCATAATTATTGTAATAAAAAAATTTATTCAGCTAAATATTTTTTTAGAAATATTTACAGTTCAGAAATTATATAGTAAAATATTGGTCAAAATTATTTTTACACTTTTTACAATACATAAATGAATACTTTTAGTAGTGAAATTGTTTGTTTTATTTATTCTTTTTTTTTATTTGTTTGTAAAAAAAATTGTTCTCTTAAAACATTTAATCCACATCTGCAATAAATAAAAATATGTTTATATCTATGTATATATTTGGCAGTCATATAGTTTAAAATTCAATTGAAAAAAATATAATAACTATATAATCAAGTATTAATGTGTATAACAGGAGTCTTATAATCTCTATTATTTTTAATTTTTTTTATAATCTTCCAATAATTTAATTTCATTAAAATTGTTTAATTAAATAAAATTCCTTTATTTAAATATATATCATTTATAATACATGTTTTGCTTCTATCTTCTCTTCTTCTTGTAAGTCTTCAAGATATTTTTACTCTTTTTTTTTTTTTTTTACGTGTTGGGAATGGGTGTTATGAAATAAACATAATAATTAGAGAGTGTTGACTATGAATAATTTATTCACATATTTTTATATTAACAATTAACAAAATAACACAAGAAAACAAAGTACATTGTTGTCTTTTTTCTTCCATACTCTCCTATTGTTGATAATAAATTTGTAAAAATATTTATTCCAAAATAGACTGTTTTATATTTATTTTTACAAAACATATATTTATATCTATCAATAAAAGTACACATTTGCACCTTGGAAGGATGCTCCACAGCCTATTAGGTTTAATAGTCATCAGCCAGGATCGGAAGCCGTCAACGTTAATTTGAGATAGAAAATTAAAAAGGACAGAATAAAATTTAAAATTTACCTTATATGTACCCCTAAATAAAGTTAATTTAATGAAATAGCTATAAATACATTCATACAACCACATTTTCTATTTGTACATTTTTTTAAAATCAATTTAAATACTTGGATATTTGTAGATACAAATTACATGCAAACTGTATACTTGTATACAGGCAGCTCATCTCTCAGCTGAGTAAATGTACAACAAATAAAATGGGCACTAATAACCCTTATGTTATTTATATATAGTATTTATAAATATTTATATAATTCTATACATCTATAAGAAATATAAATTAAAAATTGTACGAAAATTGAAAAAATAAAAATTAAACATGAAATGATACAAAAATCAACATTTATTTACAAAATATTTGGTCAGGCAGCAATCCATCTTCCGTTGCAAAGTCAAGCAGAACTATCAATTTCAAAATCAGAATCTTTGGAATCATAATAATCAATTTTTCCCTGCTTAACCCCTCACAAAATATCAATTATAAAAATGTTATAACAACAATAACAAATTTTGACATCGTCCACTTTTAATATAGTGTACCCCTGAGGACCTTGCACAATCTTCTACTTAATATTAACAATTACTAATATTTATAAAATATATCATTGCAGTTATATTTGGTCACAACACAATAGTATCACAATTTAGCGATGTTTCAGTAGGTTGTCGTTTAGTAAGAATTTCGTTGTTCCACACTCGTCATTTTGGTTAACTTGTAGTAGCAATTAAAAAAATAAATAAAAATAATAATAAAATAAACCCGTTTTAGTCCAATAAATAATTCAGTCGAGTCAGGATCTTTAAAAATTGAGGAGTGCGGTGATGTCATTTCTCACATAGAATTTATCGATAGAGATCTCTCATAAATAGTATTTCTTTATGTACATATAAACACTGCAATATCCAATGTCAGTCCCTGCCTATTCTTTTATGTATCTGTGCATGTTTGATCAGGTGAGCCTTTTGCCTGAAGGCTTTCCCGCAGACCTCACACCTGAATGGCTTCTCTCCTGTGTGGGTGCGAAGGTGCACCTTGATGTTGGACTTGTTGAGGAAGCCCCTGTTACAGATGGTACACCTGTGGACCGGTTTCTCCTTCCCTAGGCCTGGCTCCGAGTAGAGTACGGTGCTTGTTGCAGCCGCGGACTTGGATTTGGACTTGGCTTTACTCTTCTTTCCTGGAGTGGTGGTATGCGGAAAGGAGACCTGGAGCTCTGGCGAGGGGCGGGAGCTGTGGACCGGGGTGTACCTGACGAGGTCGGAGGTGCTGACCACGTGCCCGGGGGGCGAATGTGCCAGGTAGGGGGTGGATGAGGAAGGCGACGGGCACTCGGAGACGAGGCCGTAGGATATCTCACCCTTGGGCGGCCCGTTCTGGAGCCTGCTCTGCAGCAGCGGCATGTAGGAGGACGCCGGCTCTCTCTTCACCTGGATCCCGCCGTAGCTCAGCGGCGGAGAGGCAACGCCGAAGGCCGAGTTGGCCACGAACTCCTGTAGACTCTCGGCCGAGATAATGGCCTTCCCGTTGCCCGTGCTCTGGCTGCAAGCGGTGTCTATCCAGGCATCGATGTCTATCCAGCTGTCCCGCGACGTCTCTCCGTTGCTCGCATTGCTGTTGGCAGCGTTCGAGCCTGGAACTGTCGTGTCGGCAATCGCAGAGCCTATAATGGCCGCGATGTCTTCAATATCTGGAGCCAGAAGACTGTTGTAGTCTACAGCTTCTGTCTTGATGTTCTCTAGTGTACAGTCCATCGTAGATGAACTGACTACTTGATCTGTCGTGTAATAAATCGTGTTTTGATTCGTCGCTTCGGACGAATTGTTGTTGGCTTCCACTCTTGGAGGACTGGGAGCACTGGCGATCGTATGATAGTGGTGGCCTGATATGCCGTTGATACTCAAGTGGCCGGTGTAGCCCGTGAAAGGAGGCAGCGGCTTCAGCTCTGCCAGATTATTATTGTTTGGTTCGGATGACTGTGTCGAGGTCAACAGTAGGTCGAGGTCGTCCATCCCCGACTTTGAGTTCGAGTCATCCTCTTCTCCTAGCATCAGTTTCTGCGAATTTCCATCAATGAGCATGTGCTCTTGGCTACTCCACGGATTCATGAGAGTGTCGACAGGGAGCCCGAGGATCTCAGAGTCTCCTGTAAATTTCATCTTCCTTCAAGAGTGATGATGTTGGGAGCCGGGGGGCTCCAAGGCTGCAGCTGGTCACGGCGGCCCCATGCCCTAGCTGATCTGCAACAGAGCAAAATGGAGTAAACATTAGTTTAATCTCTGGTACCTTCTTAGTCTAAAATCGTCTTAATCTACATAAACATTAATAAATCATTGTTTTTATTCCAAAACCATTATAAAATAATTTTATAAGAAATAACTTTTTCTCTTTATGATTGACTAACATCTTTGTCCAAATATTTTTTTTTTCATTTAAACTATTTAATCCTCACGATGGTGCAATTCAAGCAGATAAGAATTACCAACCAATAAATATGATGATATAATAATTAAAAATTAATCAAAACTAGAAAGGTTGGTGATATTTTTCAACTTTCGCAACATAGCTCCGGGAGCGCAAGCAGGGGCGAAATAGCCAGAGTGAGTCCCGGGACACGGTTGTGCTAGGCGTGAATTGCCGATTACCAACCCCTTGCTAATCTTTGCAATGACCCAATTTTTGAAGGACAACGTATTTTATTTTGCCAACAGTTTATTGCCTCAAAAAAAATTATTTATTCCCGACTTTAAATTAATATGGGTCTCTCATTATTTTCCTATAGGTGAATTATTTCGAAACGTAGGTATTGCAAAAACTGCACAACCCTTTTTGTGTTTCAGTTTCACGATCTAGATTAATTCTACCCACAGTAATAGATTAATTCACAATAAGATTAATTAATTGCCCACAATTATAGATTAATTTTTATATGATTTTTTGATATATCTCTTTTTTCATCATGGGCGATTAAAAAAGTTGAATAAAAAAATTTGATTTATTTACATATTATCATATTTAAAATGTACACGTTGAAGATATCTTTAAACATATTTATGAATACTCGACAATTCATTGTTCAAATCTCTGATACCAAAACCAGGATTTCCAATTTTTTTTTTAAATTCGATTTTGACTGTTTCTAGTCAATAGGCCTTTAAAATAAAAGTATTTCAATAATATAAGTTCTGTAAAACCATTTCTTTAAAAGTGGCAAGCAACAAAGATGTTTAAATAAAAATTTTAGTCATAAGAAATTGATTAAAAATAAAGATTACCTTTTTCCTCAAAGTCTCCTTAAACCTCTAATTATCATTGTTGTTATCTTTAAATTTGTTACTTTTTCGTGAAAAATATTTTTAAAAATACGTTATATAAAGAAAAATATAAAAATCCACTTTAAGAACTTTTGTTTTTTGTTCTTCCCTATCTCGGCTTTTAGCCTATACGAGATTTTATCGTGCCGGAGGGTGAGGGCGGGGAATTTAAAATCCTCTCCGGCACTTTATAAGAACAAACGATGGAACCTTATCTCGCTTCGATGGAGAATTAGATGCCCACTTTTCATATTCCTTTGTAGTGAGATTCTACTTTTTTTACGCAATAACGTTAATTAGACGTCATTCCAAATTTAATTTTCAAATTTTCATCAACATCAGTTTACAGCTAATCTTGCACCTCTGTTACTTCCACAATACCAACAGGTGGTTTGTATAGATTTGAAAGAATTCCTTGAGATGTAAGGTGACTCACACTGCGATGTATGTTATACGGTCAGTTGCGTGTACACCTGTTCAATAAGCTTCCTGTACCTGGAGTAAGTACAGGAAGAGAAGCATCTGTTGTACATTTCTACGACCCGTTACGTGTTTGCGCAACATCACGTCTTCAGGATCGCTTGCATCAGGGCGAGATGTTAAAGGCATGGCTGGGATTCCACGGTGACAACCATAATTTTTTTTTTTTGAGCTAATTTAATTTATATCTTACTGACTTAGTTCAGTAGATCGACCATCCGGAATTCGTGCTATAAATTGAATGCGATCGGGTCAAATTTCCGATAAGCGGTTTTCGAAGGATCTATACGTTTCAGAGCCCACTGAGTCGGAAAAACACATTATTAGTCATTGGTTTGTCTGACTGTGCCAAGATTTTCTCGGGAACTACTGAACCGATTTTGTTACTTTTTTTTTTTATATTGTAGGGTTCTGACTAGTGATGCCTGTGACAGAAATTCGGTGCTCCATGTGCAATAGCTTGCGTGCAATAAATGATAAATATATTTTTCTCTAGTCTGTACCGCGAAAACGGCTTTAACGATTTTGATGAAACTTTTCTATAATGTCCTAATAATTGTCCTTTCAATTTTCGTATATGAACTAAATTCCCGAGAAAATTCAGATAAAAAAGTTATAAAGAAAAGAAAAATATTTTGGGGCCTAACTCGCTAAGTGTATATTATACGGTAAAAATTATAATAAATCTTTTAAAAGGTAATTAAATTACTAACAAAATAAAAAAAATCATCGTAATCGAACCAGTATTAGCGATGATACAGCTTATTCTATTTTCTACACATGTTTTAATCTATTACTTTCCTACGGTTTTCGACGGATCTATACATTTCACCGAAATAGAAAAGTCCAAAATAGGTAGAAAAATCGTGTGAGTGGACACACCAGATTTTTTTAATATAAATTTTTAATCTGTATTGTCATATGGAATATACAATAATAATTAAGTCGAGACCACATCTCAACATTTAACTTATGTCTTCCATTTTTTTTTTTAAATAAAATATATGCTTTATTTCTACATTTTTATGAATGTAATTTTCTTATTAATATGCAATTAGCTACCAAAATATTGTATATACTATACAATTAATTAATTAATGTTGATAATTATTCTTTATGCTAGTAATTTTTATTGAGGTTTGTGAATGGCTAATTTTTTTGAAGAGATAATTACTAAGTTTACGGTTAGGCGTTAAGTAGGAAGGGAGTACAGGAAACAGATAAAGAGTTTGGGGTCATATTATCTCTACCTGTCCAATAGGCTCCACATTTATTTTTATCCAAACACTAGCTGTGTTGGGTTAGCTTCTTTGACCACTTCTATACTTCACAGTTTGTTTACCTTATTCGAATAATATTATTTCACGAGAAAAAATAATTTAATATTTAAAAAGCAGGTTGGATTAATGTCATAAACAAGAAGTAATTTAAAAAAAAAAAACATTCAATAAATGTTTTATGTTGATTGTAGTAGGATTTAAAGAAATTGTATACATTTTTTTTATTTCTCAAAATTTCAAAAAAAAAAAAATTAAAATACAATTGAAATCTACTGCACAAAATATAAGCTGTAATTTTGTATAAATTGAACTCATCTCGGACCCAGAAGAGAAGTTAATCACTCCCACATTTATTTTTGAGTGTTTATTTTTTTCTTTATTGTTTTAATCTCATTATTTTTAATTTTATTGTAGTTCATTATTATTATTATTACTTTGATTACATTTATTATTATTATTCATTTATTTTCTAATGAATGACCAACTTGATAGTATAATTTCACTAATTGATATTAATTTATTTCACCATTCATGAATTTTACTCGCCAAATTTACAGGATTTATTATTTTTTATTTTACAAAAATATTTATTTTTTTTTTTTTTTTTGAAGCTCTAATTTCATAGATAATTTGTTTCTTATATATGCTTTATATGATGTTAGATGTTCCTTGCACTGTAAATCAGACAAATTTTAAGGTTTTTTAGTCCATTCCTCAATTTTATTTAATCTTTATTTATTGTTTGATAATGAGGGTACAAAAATGTTGCAAAACCGCACCCAATTTATGACTATTCCTTTTATTCTTTATCACGAGTATTCAAAAACTGTAAACCTAATATCAATTCACATATTCTTTCAGGTCAAATATTACCTTTAAAAAAAAATGGATGATAAATGAAACTATTTTTTAAAAAGTCGTTTGTTTATGATTTATTCGAAACATTTTTTCAACTTGGGATATGGAGAATATTAAATTGGGGCTGCTTAGTAACATAGAGGGCAAAATTTTAGCTTCTTGATAAAATCCCACAAGGCTTTTGTTGTCATCGATCAAAGCCGAAACTTATAATTATGAAATTATATAATTGTGGGTTAATGGTTGACTGCCGTGAATAATGAAGAGAATAATGGTTGGGTTGATCAGTCAGAAATAAGAAAGCAAAAATAAATAATAATAATATTTATTTTGACATTTGCCGACGTTTCGACCTGAAGTTCAGGCCTTCACCAGGGCTAACAAAAAAAAAAGATAATAATTATTATTAAGTTTATTAAAGATTATTATTTTTATTATTTATTTTTGCCTTCTTATTTCTATCACCCCAACCATTCTTCTCTTTATGAAATTATATATTTTTAATGTCGTTACAATATAAAACGTATTTTGTTTTGTATTTGTAAACATAAGATTGTGATCAATAAAATAGGTATTATTGTAGATTATTTATTAATAGTGAACTGGGCTTAAAGTTGAAAAATATTCTAGGTAAAACTTCTAAAGTTTAATTAATTTTTTGATAACCGAATCCTGAAATTACGCCTTCGATTTCCCTCGACAATATCCGAATTTCTCAAACAGACAGAGGGTAATATCTTGGAACGACATTTGACATAAGAATGATATAGACCCATTTACAACAAACAACAACAAAAAAAAAGGTTAAAATTCTGACTAAGAATTCGCTTCTCTCAAGGCGTTTAAAATAAAATGTAAAATAGAAACTTTACACATACATTTATATACTTAAACCCATATGGGGATCTACGCTTCCCACAGGTACACGGGGCAGCCAAAATAACAAACAGACGAAAATTCCAATCTATTCGTTCGAAAATTTTCAGAACTATAACATGGTACGACACAAATATTACTTTACATACAGATTTATACATGCCAATAGTTAACGATCACATACGTACACACAAAAAAAATATTTTACGACGACTTCGTAATACTCTCATACAAGATATGGCAACAATTAACATACCCGATGACAGACTTAAGAGACATAAAATAAGCTGTATGAGGGATATTCTCGCTTAAAAATTCATACTAATTTCCAAACACGTAGTGATGGTGCTGGACACTCCAATCTCTCACGCCGATAAATGGTAATACTAATATTTTTCCTGACAGCAAGCTTACTGGTTGTCATTTTTTTTTTTAGAAGTGTTGGTTAAGAAATAAACAAAATTTTTATTTCAATTTTTGTTTCCTAATTGTTGATTGTATTTTACTGTTCTATTAGTTGTTTTTTTCTCAGTAGCCATTCCAATTAATGTCTAAACTTTATGTTATATATGTGAACATGATATGAGAAGAACATTTGTGACATTTCGGAAAAACTAAATTTTTTTTTAATTTGAAGAATATTTCAAAATATATGTTTCTTTAAAATTAATTTTCGAAATTTTTCTAAACCTTACATTTTGTAGTTTTATTCGATAAAACTGTGAAGTACGTAACGTAATATTGTTTGTAAGATATAATCAAAGATAATGAAATTATTTTTGTCTAAAATAAAAATATATATTAATTTTTTATTATTTATATATTAATTTTTTGTTTCTCCATATAGCTTTTAAAATCAATATGAAACATAGAAGAAGTGGCTCGTCCAAATAAATTGCTATCAATATTGTATTTTTTTTTTAATTAAAATATTTTTTAAATTGAATTGTATATTAATTGGAAAATTATTTACGTATTGCAATGTGTGGAATTATTCAAATATATTTTTATATTATATATTATTAATAATACAAGTATTAATAATAATTCTGGCAATTCAAGATTATATGACTATGTTATAAATATAAGCATAGAAAAAAATTAAATGATTTTTAAGTGACCACGCGGTTCAGTTACCTTAGCTTGAGTCGAGCTTTTGTTGCCAAGGCTAAGCAATGAATTAACTATCAATGGAGACCCATTGTCATTGATAAGACAGCCTTACTATGAGGAAAACTAGCTTTTCAATGAGACGAATACTTCATGGCTGCTAAAAACAAATTTGACGTTAAAATTTGCTTCCGAATCAGTGTGTATGTGTATGTGAGAGTGCGTGCATGTTTTTCAATCATACGAAATTAAAATATCTTAATTCATAGTTCAATATTATACACTATATTTAAAACTCATAATAATATACTCCAAGCTTTTTGGGTCTTTGAATAAAATTTAGTATGTATAACATGTTGTTTACATCATCGAAATGTATTTTACTTCAATTAGATTATATTACTTAATTTACGGTTTTAGTTTAAATTTAAATTTTATTTCTAGTAAACTATTTTAAATTTATTTTTCTATGGAAAAAAAAACTATTTGTAATTTTCAATAATTGATTATTTTTTATCATTAAAATAAAATCATATTTTTTTTTTTTTTTAATTTCATCATATGAAATAAATGTTTAGAAGAGTTGGTACAAAGTCTTCATGCGGAACCATTTTATGAATTTAAATTGATTTATCGACATACCGAATTAAGTAAGTAAATTTTAAATTTAGATTCCCTTCTAGATTTCTACAAATTTTGTGGTGATTTTAGGAATGTTAAGACATAAAACGTGATCGGTCAATGATTTCAAAAGCGCATATATAAAAAGCAATTCATAATATAAAAATAATTGAATGTAATTCATACTAAAAAGTTTTATTTTCAAAATTACAATCCAAAAAATTCTACATATATTTTAAAAAATGAATTTTCAGTGGCTTTATAAATTATTATAAAAACCTTATTTATTTTGATAATGTTGACATAATAATTTTAAATCATACACTTATTTTTTTCTACTCAATCACTATTTCTTCGGTTCATGTAAGTTTTATTTTAAACAAT